GAGGAGGGCAGGGGACAGGAGGGCAGGGGGGAGGAGGGCAGGGGACAGGAGGGCAGGGGACAGGAGGGCAGGGGACAGGAGGGCAGGGGACAGGAGAGCCGCCTAGTGGTCCTTGAGAGAGCCCCGCCTGCTGTCACCGCCCTCTTTCCCCAGTTTTCCGTTTCTCCCCAAGTTTCACAGCCCTCAGCTGGCCACCTGTGGCTGAGGCCAGCGCACCTGCAGCTTGGGGCAGCGCGCTCCTGTGCGGTGGCCTCCCGCGGACGCTGGTCCTCGAGTGCCAGCCCCGCTCGGTCTCCAGCCCGCCCGCCAGCGGGAACAGGCAGCCGGAGGAGCAGAGCAAAGCAACAGGCCCTGCCCGACTCCCAGGCCCAGCGACCTCGTCGGGATCGTTTCTGTTACTTCTGTTTGCTGGGAGAAGGTGGACAGCGGACTCTCCCAGGGCTCCGAGGACGCCTGCGCCCGCCCGTAGGTCTTGCTGAGCGCACCCTGGGACGCGCGGACCTGAGGGAGTCCGAGGGAGCTCAGCTTCTCCACGCAGAAAGATTTGAAGTACCAGGCGGCGCACAGGCACTTTGCCCTCAGACGTTAGCGTCAGCCGCTAGGGAGCGGGCGGCGGGGGCCGTAGGACACGCGAGGCCTCTCCCTGGTGGCGCGACAGGCCAAGCGCACACTATGACGCTCTCAGAAGCCGCCGCAGCTCCAGTTCAGCCCCGGCAGGCAGGGAGGGAGCCCAGGCGCGGCAGGCCCCTGCTGTCCCCTGCTCCCCTCAGCTGTGGGTCGCAGAGGATCTGCCTGCTCTGCTCCCCGCTCTGTCTTTGGGGAGTCCTCTCACCCCACACCTCTGGCCTGTACCCCAGTTCTGTGTGCATAAACAAATGCATCTTACAAAGCAGAGATGGCAGACACTAAGCCAGGGACAGCAGGGCAGAGTGGCCGGCTCCCCGCGGCCAGCACCGCGGCGGCACCAGGCGAAGGGAAGAACAGGGAAGCGGAGAGCCTAAGCTGGCGCTGCTCTGCTCGGGGGAAGGACACTGCCTGGGCTTGTAGCCTCCAGCCAGTGAGCACAGCCTCTGGGCGCAGGGCTGGCCCCATGCTCCAGGCCCGGCAACCTGCAGGGGTCCCCCCAGGGAAGGGTGGGAGGGGCTTGCTGCCGGCCCTCCCGAACTGGCCTGGCCTACCTGGCATTTTCAGGAAATGGAGAGAGGTGCCAACTTTGGAAGAAGTGGGCAGGGGGAGCAAACAGGTTTTCTAAAGAACGGCCAAGACTGGAGCTCCTTTGAGAAGGGGGGTGCGGGCGGGGTGTGGGGCGCCTTCCTGCCAGCGAGCGCCCCGCTCCAGACCCTGCTTGGCATAGGTGGCTGCATGGGGAAGCCAGAGGCGCCCTCCCTGCTGGCCAATGGCGGCGCGAGGCCCCCGGCTGTCTGCAGCCGCCTCTGCGCCAGTTCCACCCGGGCCAGCGGTGACCCCAGCGCCGCAGACTCCTGTAGCCCGCTGCTCGCTGCCCCCGCAGGGGAACTGCGGCTCCTGGGCGCCCCGCACCCCGCTCCACCCCCACCCTCGGCTGCAGGAGCCGCCCAGCCCGCGGGGCGCAGGGGCCGCTGCTCCGCACTGCGCTTAGCCCGTCCGCTCTCTCCTGGGCCGCGGTCAGGGCTGGGGTGTTGGGGTTCCCTTTGCAGCTCTGTGACCTCTCCCTTTCCTGTGACTTCTGGTAGCTGAGGGGGAGGTGACACCCCACCGGCGCGACGGGGCGCTGACCCTGGTCACCTCCCTCGGAAGGGAAACGCCCAGCAGCGCCCCAGCCGCGGGGTCGCGGACACCCACCTCGGGCCGGCGCCGCCAGTCGGCCCAGGCGGGACAGCGCGTGCGGACCAGG